GCGGCTGCGTGGGATTTGGCTGCCTGCCAGGTTAAACCACGACAGCTCAGTTGCAATTTCCAGCTGAGGCCCAACATTTAATCTTTCAGTGCCAACAGCCTTTTAGGCTTCTCCAGATTTTCACTAACTTCCAAGGAGTATTTTTGTATGTTTGGGCATCTCAGTCTTGTTGCTTCGTTTCCCAGGGTATAGGCAGAGTCAGGGACTTCGCTGAGAGCAGACACTCCCATGTTTCCTCCCTGCTGTACCCGCCCCGCGGTGTCTCCTTGAACCTGGGGCTCCCCGTTGCCCTCTCCACTGACAGCACACAGCTCAGTGCAGGGAGCCGGCTGGTTGCAGGTTATGGACAATAGCAAAGTCTTGTAGGTAAGCTCTTTGCTAAGTTGATTTCATGCCTTACAGGTAGGTATTGATTTCCCATTTTGATATACTTAAGTGAAAGAGATAATAAAACAAAGCCATCTGCAATGGCTGTCCTTTTCTGCATGCAATATTTCATCCTTTCACTACCTCGATCAGCTTTGTTCATAAGGGCTCTTAATAACTCCGGCTGTAATTAGATCTCGCTCTTACTCTGACCTTGTGAACTAGACTATCTCCTACTGCAGCTGCATGAATATTTCCCAAAATTTGGATTTCCCGCCTTTTCACACACATTGTAATGTGATTTTGGTGTGAATTCAGTAGATCTGAACAATTATTTTCAGTAGATAAGAATGTTACTTCAGAATCTGTTTTCCTTACATATTGTAACACTAGTGAGATATAATAAATGCAGTTGCCTTTGAGCGTGTTTGAGAGTGTTTCTCTAACCCACGTCCAAGTTTTGCCCAGAAAGGTGCTTTGCCAGGTGACCTGCTCTGACTCCTGTGAGGGAAATCACTGCTCTCCTGCAAGGACACACAAAAGGCAGCAGCACAAACAGGACCAGCCCTTGGAAAGTTGGGGTGTGGTTTTGGAGGCTGCCCAGACCTTTGCTGGTAGCTGCAGACCCCAGTGCACACCTATAGCAATGGCTCTTCGACAGCTTTAGACTTTATCCTCAGTTTAAACACATCTACTTACAGTCATTTTATAAACTTTCCAGGAGAGAAAAGTAAAATTCCACCAAGAAAGCAAGGTTTTTTCTCTCAGCTGGGGCTGGACCCCCA